AGAGAGAGAGAGAGAGAGAGAGAGAGAGAGAGAGAGAGAGAGAGAGAGAGAGAGAGAGAGAGAGAGAGAGAGAGAGAGAGAGAGAGAATAAACAACAAAGGAAATAAATAAACCATATAAATAAATAAATAAATACTAAACATGAACTGACATTGATTGGTGTGTTATGCTTGGGGGATTTTGTTGTTGTTTTCACCTTTCAGGCACCGAGAGGTTACCTGAAGACGACACGAGCACTAATAGTGCATGAGATGTTAGCGCAGATGAGACGGGACGAATTCCGGCAGTATGTAATGAAGCATGCAGAGGCATTGAAGCACCGGTACACAAAGAAAAAACGAGTGGGAGGTGGAGGAGGAGGGGTCTTGGACGACATGAAGTTCGTTCGTGACGAGGTGGCGAACACTGCGTGGAAGAGGGTGATGAACTCGGTGCAGAGACAACTGGTAGGTAGGTACGTATATGAAAGGTAAATGGAATGAGACCAACAAGTTACTTAGCACGTAATAGTAAATAAATACAAATGCACAGTCAAATCTGTTCCTTTTCTTTTGTTTTTTGTTTTTATTATTAAAAAAAAAAAAAAAAACAGTTTATCCACCAAACTTCCAAAGTATATCCTTTTTTTTTTTTTATCCACAGGACCACAGATAAATTAGTAACACAATACGAGCGAGTAAATACAAATGCACTTCAATTACTTTCCCTTCGCAAGGAAAATGAGCGATAGCAAGATACAGAAACCAAGCCGCATCATAAATATGAAAGCAGATAGTCGTGACCTCGAACCAAAAGCAGAATTGCGACACGAATCACACCAAATAAGAGCACAGCAAAAGCTCACAAGTGACAATGTTGGAATAGTCTCATCATCATCATCATCATCATCATCCACGAACCAATGTCGTTCCCCTAAGTGGTGCTGCTCGGCGCCCACTGCAGACTACGAATGGCAGATCCTATCTAGCCTATCTACAATGCTGCTGGTGACGTCAACAGATTTCCGAAGTACGAGCAGATCTCGGTCAGTGCCATCCGCATCAAGCACCAAGAGGTATGTCCTCGCCACGCTCACAACCTGTGTGGTCCCCCACACAGATGCCACATAGACCCGAAGACCACCACCATGTGTGTCATCCAGCAATGAGCAGGCAAGCCCGGCTAAGGCTGCCTGCGTTCAACCCTGCTCGTCTGTGAGCGAGTGGGCCACTTGCATCAGAAGCTAGTGCTGCATGTGTGTCATCCAGCAATGAGCAGGCAAGCCTGGCTATGGCTGCCAGCATTCAACCCCGCTCGCCCGTGAGCGCGTCGGCCACTCGCATCAGAAGCTAGCGCAGCATGTGTGTCATCCAGCAATGAGCAGGCAAGCCCGACTATGGCTGCCAGCGTTCAACCTCGCTCGCCCGTGAGCGCGTGGGCCACTTGCATCAGAAGCTAGCGCAGCAGCGCTTACGCCTGAAGCAGTGAGTGCCCAAATGCGCTGGCCAGTGGCCAGGCCCTTTCCTTTATGGAAAGTGGATGCCAGTCGTGAGCTGCCTGGCTGGCCTGGGCCTCTGCCCAGAAGCTTCCAGTAGGCCCCAAGTTGGTGGGCCTCGGTCCCAGGGAATATTACGCAGGGCCTCTGGCAGTTATACGTGTCCAACTGCCAGGAGTGCTGTGTACAGTTTGTGCCTCGTGTCTGGCTCAGGGCCTGTCCCCGATTCTTTCAGGAAGGGCCTAGAAACCCGAAACAGATGTTGGTATACACGGCCTGGGCTCATTCAACAAACTGATGGTGTGTAACTGTCTGATTCTCCCCAGTTGCAAAAAACACAAAAATAGGCCTCATGTGATTTATCAGGCCCGCCTTCACTTAGGGGGGGCTTACTTGCTGAACAGGCCCAAAGGGGCTTATCGAGGCCTTAAGCCTGGCAGCTTTTTAATCCAATCCGTTAAAATTGGAATGGCCCAGAGAGAGAGAGATAAGACTGACCGTTGGGCGCTTTCCCGCTACTGCCGAAGGGCAGCGACGCAAGGCAGCCCCTTTTCGACGTCGCGGAGGACGGCAGGCCGCAAAGGGGACCATTGGCGGAGTATTCCATGACGCCGACTGGTTCCAACCGGAGATGTCCGTCCACGGGCCGCCAGGAACAGCAATGGACCAGCCGCGTCGAAAATTGTCGTCGAGAGAGCTGCCGTCGACGCCCCGATTCTTCCGGATGCTCGACCTCCAAGGGACCTCGGGAGGTCCCTTGGGGAACACGTCGAAATGGCTGTAGCCCGAGGAATCCCCGAGGAATCCCCGAGGAATCCCTGAGGAATCCCCGAGGAAATGTTTTCACATTTTTTTTTCGTTTTCTTCCCCAAGGATAAGTGGAACGATGCTTTCCTCGGGGATTTTACGCGCCCGAGGAGTGTCGAACGAGCCCCTTTATAAAACGTTCCGTCATTTTCGCTGCATCTGGACTGAAAGGTGAGCCAAATACGGCTATAATGACCGCCCCTTCTATTCGGGTCAAGACGCTATGCTCTGTAAAGCAAACAGGAAGGTCCTGAATCACAATTACTGCCAATGGGAAAGGCTGCAGAACTAATGCTCATGTAGGCCTTGCAGAGTGTAGCTACACCTCTTCTTCTTCTTCTTCTTCTTTTTTTTTTTTTTTTTTTTTTTGAAAGGCCTGCAGCTACACCTCAACAAGAGATGGGTAGGCTTTCATAAACTTACCACATCATCACACTGAAAACAGTGTACCACATGGATCTTAAAAAAAAAAAAGAAAAAAAAAAGAAAAAAAGAAAAAAGTGTAGTTACACTTAACAAGAGAGATGAAAAAAACCATCTGACAAGTTATACAACTCATATTATAATAATTATATTTAATTTAATATATTGTGAATTCTTTACAACAGTCAAGAGATGAGGGCTCTAACCCAACCTGTGACCGAAAACGATGTTCTTTTTCTTTCTTCTTAATAAGTTTTATTAAATTTATTTATAATTCGAGCGTGCACTTCGCCTTCAGAAATTCAGAGTAGTTTTTTTTTTTTTTTTTTTTTTTAGAATAAGTTATAAGTTGAATAACAGGATTAGAACACTATGAATTTATGAATCATATCATTAAGAATGGTTATCGAGTATAATTTGTCGTTTTCTGCAGGAGGACTTTGTCATCAAGAGGATGGAAGCAGAACTAGGCTTTTTGAGGAACCCACGGTTCAGAACTAAGCCGGTCAGTGTTTTCACATCCTTTACAAATTTTTCACATCTCCTAAGACTAAGAAGTCCCAAGACGGAAAAAGTTAGAACAGAGTAACATACTCCAATTCAAACGTTCGCAACTGAATCTGGCCATATTCATGGCTAAAAGCATCCCCCCCCCAACAAAAAAAAAACAAGCATGAGTATACCAGAAGGAACACAGAGCCGTTTGGTCATCGCAACTGAATCTGGTTCTTCATTCTTGGGAGCACACTCGTATTCACACCGGGACTTGCCCGTCTGTCTCTGACCGCAATCACAGCTCGTGCTTGATGTATCTGGCTGCAAAACTACGTCCAGGTTCCAGAAGTCAGTCGAAAATGTGCTACTGTGGGTATGGATTCAGTCTGAGACTCCTTATACTCTCACTCCCTGTTTTTCCACCAAGCTCTTCTTCTTCAGCACCTACCTCATCTCCGTTCCTCCTCCTCCTCCTCCTCCTCCTCCTAGTCTTCAGCGCCCTCTTCATCTCTTCTCCTCCTCCTCATTTCGGTTCTTCTTCAGCCCCCCTCTGCTTCCCCCTCCTTGTTGTCCTTCTGTATGCTCCAGTGTCCTCCTCCTCCTCCTCCTCCTCCTCTCCCTCTCGTCCTCCTCCTCTCCCTCTCCTCCTCCTCCTACTCCTATTGTTCTTCAACACCCTCTTCATGCTTTAATGCTTCAGCGCCCTCCTCCTCCTCCCTCTCCTCCTCCTCCTCCTCCCTCTCCTCCTCCTCCTCCTCTCCCTCTTGTCCTCCTCCTCTCCCTCTCCTCCTCCTCCTCCTCCTCCTCCTATTGTTCTTCAACACCCTCTTCATGCTTTAATGCTTCAGCGCCCTCCTCGTCCTCCCTCTCCTCCTCTTCCTCCTCTTCCTCCTCCTACTGTTATTCAACCCCCTCTTCATCCTTTCTCCTCCTTCTCCTCCTTGTTGTCCTGCTGTAATCTTCGGTGCCCTCCTCGTTGTCCTCGCCTCCTCCTACTCATCGCCCTGCTTGCTGTGCTGCTGTGTGCTCGCCACTTGGTCTCCCTCTGTGCTTCTGTATGCTTCACCTTCCTTCTCCTCCTCGTCCTCTCTTTTCTCCTGCTCCTGTCTGCTAGCATAGTATCAGGCATTCGATTCCCCCCCCCC